TCCGACTGGATTCAAAATTACAATTAGGAGAGCAATCATTGTAAACTTTAGCCCAGCGGAATATATGTATTATTGAAAATTTCGTGAATTAACCACAATTCGACGCTTATAATTTAATATATGATGATGATTATTAATGGAAGATAGACAATAATTCTGTCCAAAATTAAATGCGTCTATTTAAAATTTAGTATGGGTCGAAATAATAGGGCTAACGGGAATTTGTGTTGATTAAATATCGGATAAATTTTTATTCATTTTGTATAACGATCATGAAAAACTCTCACACCTGACATCAGAGTTGTTTCTAAAGGCTTCTTCAATTATTTCTATGTTTTGTGTTCTCATTCCTTCTGATGGCTTCTTGGTTCAGCTTTTTATACCCAAAGGAGAAACCAAGCTTGGAAATTTTCACCACCACCTCAAAAAATGAATATCACTTCCTCCTCATTTTGTTCAAATGGAAACTAATTCTTCATTCACTGCTGGCTTAACTGTGAATTAATTAGAAATTAGAAAAATGTTTAGGGTTTCATTGATATCCTTTGTTTAAAAATTTACAGCATCTCTCTCTTTGCGAACTTCTTTGTATTAACATTAACCCGAGCATAAACATCTGCACTTCCACATTAAAATATTGAAAAAAGCTATGTTAGTTGAATCTGAAACATTTTTCTAATTTATGAATATGATTTACGTTTCAATTATGAGGAATAGAGGGAATCTTAGTAGGTGTTGGAAGTCCGAGAAAGTATGCAAAATTCGCAAGGTGGACTCCTCCAACAAACACTGCAACATTGACTTGTTAGATTGATCTTGTCAAAGGTTCAGATTGAAAATAGTGCCTTAACTTGATTGAATTTGACTCAATAGTTCCCATTTTGCTCGTTTTCAATATCATCTTTTTCTTGTTTGTATCATGAATAATACATAATATGTTAAGATACAAAAGATGTCAATCGTGGTCAAGCGCATGGTGGGAAACTCCTGACTTGTCATTGTGTCATTGCATTGTCATGTTTTCTTTTGAAAATCTCATAAAGCTGCAATGGCAGATGTTGCCATATATTTTGTTTTTATGTTGATGCGTTACCATATTTTTGTTAATATGTGTTTTTTTTGATTTTCTCAAAAACTAGAGGAGCACCTAATTTTTAATTAGAGGCCCTAATTAGCACCTAAAAAGCACCTAATTATTATATAGATCCCGAAGTTTTTTTGCCATTCTGACACACCAACAAGTAAACGTAAAGCCAGCAGTCTCCTTATAATTAAAAAAAAATCTGTAACTCAGTTAATAATTAATCAATTCAATTTTTTCTTGGACCATTTAGGAGCACCTAAAAAGCCCCTAATTCTGATTCAAAGAAAAAATTTGAAAAAATATTTTTTTCTAGGGGACTGCTAGCTTTTATAAATCTAGCTGTCCCTTAGTTTTTTTTTGATTTTCTCAAAAACTAAAGGAGCACCTAATTTTTAATTAGAGGCTCTAATTAGCACCTAAAAAGCCCCTAATTATTATATAGTTTCCGAAGTTTTTTTCCACCTTGGGACTGCTAGGTTTATAGACCTCTTTCAGCTTTTTGTCACTCAAAGTTACATCAGATCCAGAATATGCATGAACTTGAATATCTGTGGGCAGTTACCCTTTGCATTATTGAAAGGATGTTTGGATGACACCGACAATGAAAAACAGAGACAACGCATCGAGCAACATACTTCAAGAAGTCAGCTTAATAGGAACTTTCAAACTGAATGGATTCATCGAAGAAACCGGTAAGAGCCGTACCCTAAGGAACGCGCTGCAACAAAAAAACAGCAGATTCATCTTTCTCTGTGTTCAAAGGAAATAGAGACACCATCACCAATGTGTGTAGGCCCTGCAAAAAGATAGGGCACACGGAAGAAAGGAAAAGTGTTATTTCAAAATTGGATTTCCGAATAAGAAAATGGCTGATACAGAGAAGAATTCTGGAAAGATATTGCTTGTCGAAGGGAGGCGATATCTGGATAAGATACCAATAACCACAGAAATTAGTGAAAATAATAAGTTTGTTTATCTATTGGACAAGGGAGCTGAGATCTCATTATTACATGAACATGTTGCAAAACAGCTGAGTGCTACCATCACTTCTAGTGAAAGAAGGTTGACAGGACTTCGTGAAGGATTTAGTCAAGTCAAAGGCTCTTGTGTAATCATTGTTGTTTTGTCGCATGCTACATTAGAAGTGGAGTTCCTGATAGTTGCTGACGACACCATCCCTGATTTGAACTCCATAATTGGATGGGACGTTATTATCAGTAGGCCTGGCCTTAAGCTGATCAAGACAAGTAATAGATTAGACTTGCAAAATATTGCTGATACAGCAATACGATATGTGCAACAAATCAATGATAATCAACAACAGTCGTCAGGAATGGACGAGAAAGTGGAAAGAAAAATAGAGAGTCACGGCAAGCTATGGAAGAATCTCCATTAGCAGTAGTAATAGGACACCTGACGGTCTCCTTCAAGGATGAAACTCCTGTTGCTTATCCGCCACGACCTCTAGCCTATGCTGAATAGATGCAACTTGAAAAAATTATTGAAGAACTTCCAAGCGAAGGCATATTTCAAGAAAGTAAATCTCAATATGCAAGCCCGATTGTCCTAGTTAAGAAAAAGAACGGGGATCTTCGCCTTTGCGTCGATTATCGAGACCTTAATAGAAGGGTTGTGAAAAATCCTTATCCTTTGCCAAGAATTCAGGATAAAAATTGATGCATTGAGCACTGCTAAATATTATAGTACATTGGATATGAAGGCAGGGTTTCATCAAGTTCTGGTGGAAAAGAAGTCAATACATCTTCTTGCGTTCATAACTCCAGATGGATATTATGAATACACGAGGATGCCATTTGGATTCGTAAACTCGCCTTCATGCTACCAGAAAGCAATCGATAAGGCTTTTGGAAAGTTGAAGGACAGTATAGCTTTCGTTTATTTGGATAATATGCTAATTCCCAGTAAAACGGTGGCTGAAGGACTAGAGAAACTTGAGTTAGTCTTACTAGCACTTTCGCACGCCGGATTTAGACTAAATCTTGAAAACTGCATTTTCTTCCAGACTCGTATTGAATATTTGGGAGTTGTTATAGAAAATGGCACAGTAAAACCTAGCCCAAGAAAAGTGATGGCACTACAAAATACCATGCCGCCGAAAGATGTCAAAGGAGTGAGACAAATGATGGGACTCGCCGGTTTCTTTCGAAAATTTATTCAAGGGTTTGCGAACAAAACAGCCCCAATAACAGCATTACTAAAGAAAAAAGCTGATTTCATCTGAACACCAGAGTATGAAGAGGTTCGACAGAATTTGATTATGCTACTTATCAACGAATCTATCCTGCAGGTCGTCAATTCAGAATTTGAAAAGCAGTTACGTACTGACGTCAGTGCGCTGGGTCTTGGAGCAATTCTACTTCAGACGGATAAGGAAGAAGAACAACGGAGTGTGAGTTTAAATACCATTCCTACAACTTGGAAACGCTGGCAATAGTAACGGCAGTCGAACACTGGCGAGTATATTTGTATGGTAGAGAGTTCACAATATATACAGATTGCAATTCCGTAAGAGCTACAGCACTCAAAAACGAACTACACCCACGAATAGCTCGCTGGTGGATTAAGCTGCAAGATTTCGACTTCAAGATAGAATATCGCTCTAGTGAAAAGATGGCCCATGTAGATTATCTCAGCAATATTTTGTTTTTATGTTGATGTGTTATCATAATTATTTTGTTAATATGTGTTCTATTAAAAAGTTGTAAGGTGTAGTTCTAGTAGTAGCTCGTCGAAATTTGCATTAAAAACAGAATTGTTCCATTGAAAATAGAAAACCGGCTTTTTGTGTTGTGATTTTTGAAATAAACGGTTGAAAAAGAACAAAATCTATCACATATTATTTTATTACATATTACTTAAATCTAATTCCTTTCTGACTTACATTGAAATAAATAAATGAAACTTTTGATAATGTCATCGAATATTAGTATGGGGATCACATGATCAAGCTGGGAAAAACTAATACAACGTCGAATATCCAGAAGAACAAGACTACGTTGGCCGGCATTAAGCCAACTTGGTTACGTCCTAAGATCTTATACCTTTTCTAATAACCTTGACAAGAGGTATCTAATATCGTATTCGATCCTGTCAGGGTCAAACAGGGTCTAAATACTGCAAATGGCAATAGAGCTATTTTTGGAATTTGCCTTAGAGATCTCCCAGAATAATAAAATAACAGGGGTTACAGGTACCTGGAAAAAAAGCTCGACTGGAGTGGAAGTGGGCAGTGCACATCGCCAGACAATAATAATACAAATGAATCAACATCACAGTAGAATGACGCTCATAAAAACAAGAAAAACATGGAAAAACATTGGAAGGCGATATACAATCTGCAAAGAACGATTGAGAAAAACTGGAACCAGACTGCTCTAAACAGAAAAAAAAAAGATGATGATGATGATGATGTAAATTACATTTTGCCGTCATCAAGTCCTTCCAAATTAATTTAATCCTATAAGTTTAAAAATAAACAAAAAAAAAAACTTTTGAAAGGTATCGATAAAAAAAAAAGGTTCCCGATTCCGTTTCTGGGTCCGCGCATTCCTCTTCATTGTTCAAGCTCGTTCTCGACATCATCACGCATCGCCTTTCGCCCATACCGCGGCGGTAATTATACAACGATCTCGAAGAACCGGCAAATGAAATATTTAATCGGCCTCTCTTTTGTTCTCCGGATTTTACTGTCGTAATTGCGGTTCTGATTGTTGTTGCCCGACCGTTTCCGTAGAAAAAGTCAGTCGTCGACGACAATAAAATTTAAAAAAAAAAAGGAAACGGTACAAGAGTACGGGAATTATGACTGATGAAATTGTAAAAATTAATGATGATGGAATTTTAAACATAAAATTTCCATAATATAACAATTTATTAGATTTGGGTAGGTACTTACGAGTGATATTGTGCTTGTAAAAAATTAAATTCTTCTTTTATCCTTTCTAACGTATCCGCTATTGTAAATTTTATTTGTCCACCCTGCGGTGGAGGACCCTGGAAAAGAAAAATAAATTAGTATTACAATACTCCATTCATTTCATAAACTAGGGGTGAAAAATGCCTCCAGCCAAAGTATAAGCGAAGGGTAAATGTTTTTTTTTTATACATAGTATAATAAACGATGGTATCAAAACCTTGTGCTCTAGTTTGCCATAAAAAAACATCACACCACTAATGTCAAACCCGAGAATATTCCAAACTAAACTCATAAAAGCATAGCCGCCAAAAATCATTTTCCAAATACAAAACAGAAGCGTTTCATAAATCTATCTCGTTAGTCTTTACATCTTAACTTCCTGGTAAAGCTTTGCCTCGTGTTAGTTTGTCATTGCATGGTTTGTCTCTAACAAAGAGAATTTACCAGATTAATCCTGCAAAGCTAATGTATTACGAAAGCAACCGACCGACGTCGTTGGCGTCGCGACGCCGTTGCATAGTAACGTATTAATTATTGTACAGCTTTGTGATGAGACGCCTATTGTGATAATAATAGGGAGACACAGTTTGGATAATATCCGTAGAAGATGACTGCAGGATACATATCTAGGTAACTAGAGATATAAATAATATCTGTAGAAAATTTCTTCAGGATACAGTATGTTAATTTTATTCTAAAAGCATATTTACATCGCGAAAAAAAAATTAAATCCTGGCGTTAAGAACAATAATAATTCTCACGCTGTTTGAATACCACCATCACAAGCACCGTTTCTCCCATCATAATAAATTAATATTAATAAATGTTACCAACTAATTTATTATTTAAAAACGCCTAATAACGCCGCAGGTTGTACCTTTCGGATGATTAAACTCGTGACAATAAATTTCAGATAGTAATCGGCCGCGGTTATTACCGAGACTAGATATTTATCGATGATACATTAAATCTCATTAACTATGCTCGAGGTACTCTGTTATGTTGTGGCATATTAAACCGCTGTGTGTAAGGTGTTACGTCCAAACAGCATTAATTTATGATGGAATATAATGGGAAGCAAAAGCAAATCATGTTAGGAATAATATGTTTTCGAGTTATTGGAAAAATAAGAATGTATATGTAGGTATTCGAAGCCTACCAATATTGCTTGTTTCAAAAACCCACAAAACAAATAGAAAGATTTCGTGTCCAGTATTTTAATAACAAAACGATACATTGGATAGTTTATAACCTGGCGATTGTATCGGCTACTTTTCTGCTAAAGTAATTGAAGTCACGCGATGTTTTCCTTATCCGCATTATACCAGCTTCATTTATAATTTATGAATTAATCGTATTATCACCTGAAGGGGATTGTATAACTAACTGCCCGATAAGAACAAATTAATATAGCTAAAGTTTGTTTTTATGCATCATTGGTACAGGGAAACTGAAAAACACTCTCTTGATGTATTAGTTATAAGATAAAAAAAAAGATGCAAGTCATATAAGAAATTTACTAAAAGGCCTAAACAACAGCAACTTGGCCCTCAAGAGGTAATGTTACCTGGGAATACCATAAAACGGTTAGAGAAAGAACAAACTCACCCCAGCAGGTGTCAAAAAATTAGTAACCGAATCCCTTATTAGGGTCACAATCAATGTTACAATCTTGTATTCCAATATGAACTTGCTCAAAAACAAAAAACTACAACAGTAAGTTCTTGTTTTTGGCGTACTCAATAAAAGCTGGTTTCAGGAAAATGTCACTGTATGAATAACAGAATCAGCAAAGAAATATGTGACCTAATAATAAAAAAATTCACAAAAAATTATCCTATAGGAGCAAATAACGAATTTAAAAATATAATGATACTTATATACATATTGTATATTATGGTATACAGAACCAAGAATATTAAGGTTAAAGCACTAAAAGCATAAATACCAAAAACAAAATTAGAATTACAGATCTAAATTCGTGTCACCAATATGATCTGTGAGGATGGAAAAAAAAATGCTCAAGTAGCACCTTCCATGACAATCTCTATCTTTGCAATTTGCATATTATGTTTATACAATACCTACTACTCTTTTTCAGTCTCGTGTAATGCAACTGTTTACTCCTGATCGGTATTAATTGGTAAGATCAACGCAATGTGTTCAATTTCTTAAGTATACTTGCAAAGTCTCCAATGAGAAGGTGGCTGACAAGTTTTTTTTTTATTATGCTAAAGGAACAATGATTTCGAATATATAGACGACACTCTGGAATTGGATACGTCGTTCCATCTATCTATAAAATATTAAAATGTCAGCATCCAGATCAAAAGAATTCTGGTGCATCCCATTTTCGATATACACAATGATATTCGATGAGGCATAAAAAGTTTTCGATTGAAAATATTTTTATATTTCGTTTTGTCCAATATTGCTTCCAGGAATATTCAAATATCACAAGAAAAATCGCTAAGGGAATACTTGTCGCAAAACTACAATATAAACGTTGCTAACCACAAAAGCTTTAAATTATCTACTAAAATGCCTCCTTCCGATTTGCTAAAATCAGTAAAATCGCCACCCATCCCTCTGCCTCTCAAACATCCAATCTAATTGAACAGCGCCTCGATGCCCTGTTATATCACATTACATCGTTTGCCCTTAGCATCCTCACTTACTAAGCCCGATTTGCCCTTCGTCCTTTTCGTAAATACATGAGTAGGTGGATGTGGTATTTTCGTGTTATTTGTATTGAACTGAAATCAGCGAGAATAAATTTTACTGAGGCTTTGTATACTCATTAACATTTCTTCTATCTATCAAGGCGACATCAACATTGATTAGATCTATATTGATAATAATTTGATTGGTTTCCAAAAGAATTAACATCAGAAATTGACAAGGCAAAGTCGGGGAGCATTTCTAACACTTGAACAGAAATTCCATTTTTACCAAATGCTCCTATTTCTCACTTCTTTTATCCGATTAAATTAGACAAAAGCGGCAGATTTTAGTATCCATTGAAGGTAAAGCTCACAGGGTTGCCATATTTTTGTTCGTTGCCGAAATATAAGGGAAAATGTAAACACAACTAAAAGCCATGTGGAGATAACAATTACACCATTTTGTAAAGAAGTTTTGAAACTTTTGTATTGCACGCTTTTTTCTAAAGTTGATAAATTTTGAAATATTCATTACATAAGTTCTAGGCATTTTTTAAATTTTCCCTTATATCACGGAAACGAACAAAAATTTGGCAACCCTGCGAACTTACCTTCAATGGATAGTAAAATCTACCACTTTTGTCTAATTTAACCGACCTCGTCCCTCTTACCATTTTGGAAATAGCAATAGTGGTATCACTTAAAACGGACACCCTGGCATAGGAATCGAATGGAAGACAATAATTCTCTAAATTATTGTTCCATCTTCGTGATGAGTGTGACGACACATCACTGGATGCAAGTGATCTAACATAACACAACAAAAGAGTACGTTACAAAGAGGATCATCAGTTGAATCAATATGCTTGGTAAGATTGCGAGAAACCTATAGGTTTGATCTCAGAGGATTTCCATTCAAATGTGCATAAACATTTGAATGTTATTCCCTGTCCCAATTTCAAAAACTCCTTGTTTTTGATTGACATTAATCTAAAACTAGGTAATGTATGTGAAGAAATAAAATTGTTTCATTATTCAGTACATGATGTAAAAGAAATGACAAAATAAGACTGAATTTGAATGGTCCCTAAATGACATTTTTTGTTTTCCCAATTAACTGATGAGCACTTATTTTTCCTGATAGTTGGATGAAGTTTACTCTAAAACTAAACATACAATTCCCTAATTTTAATAAGGCTCTAAACATAAATAATGGAAATTTGAAATTTTATCCCATAAATCTGATGTTGTGGGCTCCAAACATAACCAACCCAACTAACTAAAAAAATCTCTTTGTGGAGAGGTGCTAATATAAGAAGGGACACATTCACAATCAGCTGGCATTAAAATTCATTGGATATGCGTCACTGGGTTTTGGTTGGAGGCATCTGCTAGTGCATTCAGGTATAGGATTTCTTTAAAAGCTATAATTTTCATTCCTTGTGCTACATTTTCAATTTTAAATCTATTAAATAACAATGGTTTAATTAAACTTGTACAAATAAAATATGAAATAACTTTAGGTAGTAGACATAAGCAATAAAACGAGCTAATAATTCCGGAATATTCAATAAATATTGTCTTTACCCTGGCTAAAATATCGTTTAATCACATAAGCTTTGCCAGACAGTTTCAAATCTCCTCTTTGTTCGATTCGAAATGGCAGATTTCATTAAATTCGGATTAATAAATTTACAGAGTCATGCAGCGATGCACTCCTCTAAACTCGGCATCCCAAATCCGACAGCTAGTATACCGAAACTCCATTTAGACATTTCCTAGTCGGGTGTTTACTTTGAACCCCCGGCTTACGCTGAACAAACAGCAATCTTGTAAACCCACCAAAGCAATAAACTAACCTCCAGCCGCCCGCCATCAGACCTCTCGATACTGAGAAGATCAATAAAAACTTTAACGGGTCGGCCTCTATGGATGGGTTCTTTTTTTTTTGTTCTTTTTTCTCTCACTCTTTCGGCACGAGAAGAGAACTCTCCGTCACAGAGATTAGATACACGTTTTAACGAACCATTTTGATAAAATACACCGGGAGTGGAGAAACGGCGAAGGAAAGAGGGTTGATTTTGGGTTGAGGTCGAATATCGAATCGTTTATCATTTGGATTTATGAACAACAGGAACGTATTGGGAATGGTTTCCTGTGTTATGACTTGATGTGTGTTACTTAATTTAATACGCACAACTTGCACATTTTGTGTTTATCTATATGGAAAGTACAGTATCACTTTTTAATTTTAAAAATTTAATTAATAACAAATTAATGCTGTGATGGCCGAGGTGATGGCTAGCTATTTTTTTTTCTGGAAATTGATCTCACGTCACATCGTGTTGAAATTATAGAAGGAAAAAAATTAAAAAATATTGATTCTGTTTGTTGTCTATTTTTAATTTCAAAGA